GCGCCTGTGGTTCAAGGAGTAGGGCGCCAGCCCCATGTGCTGGAGGTGGTGGGTTCTAACCTAGCCCCAGCCAAAACTGCAAAAAAAAAAAAAAAAAAAAGTCACAAATGCGTGGGGAGGTTGACACTATACTACTTTACTAGTAGGGATGTGAATTGCTCTATCCTCTAAGGCACAGTTTCGCATCATGTACTGTGGAACTTTCTCTCTCGGTTTAGCCAGGGCAATCATGGATCTCCTTTTCCTCTCTGAAATGGTCTGGTTTGATGATAAATTGTGTGGTCATCCTAATTATGTTTTCAAATGTATACTCTTTGACCCACTGAATTTCACTTTTAGGAATTGAATAAGGAAGTAATCATTAGCCAGATATGGCGGTGCCTACCTGTAGTCCCAGCTACTTGGGAGGCTGAGGCAGGAGGATCACTTGAGCCCAGGAGTTTGAGGTTGCAGTCAGCTATGATGACACCATGGCACTCTTGACTGGGTGAGACGTTATCTCAAAAGAAAGAAATAAAAATAAGTAATTACTTGTGTCTAGACATAAGGAAAAAGCAGTTAGAACTATCCAGGAAGATTTCTGTACAAGAATGCTTATAATAAAAATTTGAAATAAGCTCAGTATCTAGCAAAATGATTTGGTTAATTCATATTTTTTTTTTTTAACAAATGGTTATTGAGCACTATTCTTTGACTATACAAAATACTTGCCTTGGTGGAGCTTGTATCCTACTGGAAAAGACATTTTAAGGCCAGGCATGGTGGCTCATGCCTATAATCCTAACATTCTGGGAAGCCAAGGCAGGAGGATCACTTGAGCTCAGGAATTCGGATAAGTCTGACCTCTCTACTAAAAGTTGTGGCTCCTAGTATTCAGGAGGCTGAGGCAAGAGCATCGCTTGAGCCCAGGAGTTTGAGTTTATTGCGAGCTATGATGATGCCACATGGCATTCTACCCAGGGCGACAGAGTTGAGACTCTGTCTCAAAAACGAACAACAAAAACACGTTTTATAGTTAGAAATAAGGGAAAGTACTCATACTGTATTTATGTGAGAAAGTCCAATTATAAAACTGCATAGTAACCTAATTTTGTATAGAATGTTTACATAAAGAAATCGGAACAATGTTTGTAGCAGAATGTGAATAATGGTGGTATTATAGTTGATATTTATTTGTGCTTTTCTGTATTTCTGATTTTTTGGCATTAAAAATCTGTTTAAATCATTTTTTAAAGAAAATAATAAGTTTTTATTTTTTTAAGATGATACTCTTTGACCTGGTAAGTCTATTTCTACCTGAGATTTACAGTGCAGATCTAGGAGCAGCAAAAACATTGTCTAACAAGGCTGGCATAGTCGCTCACACCTATAATCCTAGCACTCTGGAAGGCTGAGGCAGGTGCATCACTTGAGCTCAGGAGTTCTAGACCAGCTGAACAAGAGTGAGACCCATCTCTACTAAAACAGAAAAACTAGCCAGGCGTTGTGGCAAGTACCTGTCGTCCTAAATTCCTGAGCCCAGAAATTTGAGGTTGCTGTGAGCTATGATGCCATAGGACTCTAGCCTGTGCAACAGAGTGAGATGCAACAAAAACAAGGCTGGGCATGGTGGCTCATGCCTGTAATCCCAGCACTTGGAGGCCGAAGCAGGTGGATTGCCTGAGCTCACACGTTCAAGACCAGCCTGAGCCAGAGCAAGCCCCCATTTCTATAAAATAGCCAGGCATTGTGGCAGGTGCCTGTAGTCCCAGCTACTTGGGAGGCTAAGGCAAGAGGATCACCTGAACCCAAGAATTTGAAGTTGCTGTGAGCTATGACACCATGGCACTCTACTGAGGGTGATCAAGTGAGACTCTGTCTCAAGGAAAAAAAAAAGTTTTCTAACCAAAGGGTCTTGTTTAATGAAATTATTTTATGTAATGAAATACTATATAGCCACCAAAATCATGTTTTAGAGAAATATTTAACAATTGGAAGAAATCTCAGTATA